TTTTTTTTTTTTTCAGCAGCAGTTAGCCAAGAAAGCAGTAGCTCATTTTTTTCGGGATTTTTTACCGGAAACGTGATGAATATGGTTCTTGTTTTAAAGGCATGTTAAATATTAAAGACATATTAAATACATGCAAGTCTTTTTTTTTTTGTAAAAAAATACTATGATGCTAATTTGCTCTAATGAATGCGAACGAGCATAGTTGTGTCTAATGCGTAAGAGCATCTCAGTTACATCACTGACATGGGATACCCGTACTGATTAGCTCGGACTGTTTTGGTTTTTTTGCGGCGAGAATGAACACCAGGAATGGCCGCTATTAGCCATTAGAAATAGGTATCGGGCCAATGTATGAGCTAATATGTAAAAGTTTTTTAGTCACGTGCGAAATTGAACAACTTTTCTCCAAAAAAAAGCAAAATATGGAGTTTTTCAAAATGCACAGCACTTCTATCGTTCAGAAAAACAAGTCTGACTGAAAATCTCTTCAAGTCCGAAAAAACAGCAGACAATAGCGTTATCCTTGAAAATGCTTCTTGCTTTTTCAGGATTATTATGATATCACATATGTGGAAATATTATCATCCGGTCGCTTACTTTTGGATCAGGAGCAAGGTATCGAAGAGAAAAACACGCAAAACAATTACGCATCAGCATCGACACATGCATATCCGGATCGGCCGGCAATCCTAGAAACGGCACCAATACCGTGGTGGGTGATTGTCCTGTCAGCAGCACTCGGCCTCTTGATCCTCTTCATCCTGATTGTGATTTTCTGGCGATGCGGATTTTTCAAACGCAATCGCCCCCAACATCCAACACTACATCAAGCGGAGTACCAGTTCCGACAAGAGGAATGGAGCGACACATGAGAGAGCTCATTTGCCAAGTTCAGAACAGCGTCGAGCTCCGGTTCCTGTTCTTCTGATTTTCCAGAAGACGAATTTCTGGACATCCGCAGTTTTCAGGATGGGTAATTTATTTCTGTACGGGTTGATTTGAAAAGTTACAGTTTAAATGCATGTAAATTGTTCTCTCATTATTGTTGCTGAAGCGGTTTAGCTGAATGACCATGCTGATTAGAACTCGTTTACAGGTCAGTTTTTGGCAATTTTGTGTGGCCCTCGGTTCCTATGCCCCTTCCCCTCCCCTCTCTCCCTTTGGCTATCCTCCACCACCTAAGAGTGCCATCTCTTGCAGACTTTCGGAGTGCTCGTTTTTTGTGGTTAATACTTACTGGTGCGTTCGCCCTACCAGATGTTAGCAAAGTCAACAAGATACCCGTCGAGCAGAAAAAAACTGTAAAAATTTGCAAAAAAAGGGAAAGTATGGAAATCTGTTATTTCTTAAAAAATCTTTTTGGAAAAGTCGCAAAAATAGTTAGCGGCAAATTTTGCTTAAAAGCTTTTTTATAAGAGTGATTATTGAAATTTTGTTGCTTTTCAAAACGATATTTTCTAATTTACTCTTGAAAACTACTAAGTGCAAATTCCGGAAATAAACTATTCCCATGTTGCTATTTTCAGAGAATCGTAAACCTTCAACTTAGCGCGTGCCTTGATCTATC